TCATACCTTTTGCAGTATGCCTTAAAATGTAAGAGGGGCTGGAGATGGTTAGGAGCATGCCCTGCTCTTCCAGAAGACCCAAATTCAGTTTCCAACACACACATACTGGCTTGTAGGTACCTTAACTCCATTTCCAGATCAGACACCTTCTGGCCTCCACTGGCATCAGGAACCAAATAGTGCAAATACATATGTGCAGGAAAAACACTCACAGATGTTTAAAAAAATTAAGTTACCTAACAAAGACTATTTACCTCAACAACAGTAACAACATTGGCAGAAACTGTTGTAAGATCAGATCCACAAGCTAGTATTTTATTACTAGATCAAGTCACATATGCCTTCATAAAATAGATGAAAGCCAGTTTCCACTCCAGCTGGGAGACAAAACTCTGTAGTGTTCCTGAAGCACATCATACAGAAGTATAACCCTACAGTGTAGTGTCCTACATTTGCTATGTAAGCCTGATAATCTGAGGATTATTTCATTATGCCTTTTTTACTATGTAAGTTCTTAGAATTGTTTGGGGCTTATTTTTAATTATGTGTATCTGTGCAAAGGTATGCACACACAATTGCAGGTACCTTGGAGATCAGAGATGCTGGATCCTCCGGTAGTTGTAAGCTGCCTGATATGGGTGCTAAGTGCAAATGTGAGTCCTCTAGAAGAGCAGTCAGTGCTCTTAATCACTGAGTCAGTCTCTCCAGACTCGTTTTTTAAGAGATAAGCTCAGCCTGGCCTTGAACTCATAATTTTACTGCTTCAGTCTCCTGAATGCTGAAAGAGGTATGCAGCCCAAGGCCAGATCTGAGTTTCTTTGAAGTAGTTTAACTTTCTATTCTGATCTGCTCTGGTGAGGCAACTGTGATTTGCACACAGCTGTGATGAAGTAGCATCTAAGGAATCAAGTGCGTGCGTTCTCTCTCTCTCTCTCTCTCTCAAGTACAATGGGTTTTCCCAATCTAGGACGACAATCAGTTTGGATACCTGCATATACCAGATTAAAAAAGAAAGACCAATTACACAAATGTTGTTCAGCATGGAAGCATTTACGGGTTCACTCCTAGGAATTTAACAACTTATTATAATGAAATATCACAGACAAATTTAGTTTAAGCATACAAAAACACACAAGTTACATTGCCCACATGACCTACTTTTAGCACAATTACCACAAAAATACCTATCAAGTGTTGGTCAGGAATCTGAGTTTCAGTGTGAAGAATCTGCCTGTACAAACAGGCTTTGGGAAATGTGCCCTCTCCCATTGTTCTCTCCTCACGACTGTCGGGGTTCCTCCAGCATTCCATGAACCCTTCTTCAGTGTCCTCAGAAGGTCACTGCTGAGCTCCTCATTCCATTTCTTTTCCCCGCCTACTACGTAGACCATCTTCATCCAAGAGATGGTGAGACTTTCCCCCCATTTTCCTTGTCGGGAGAGTTTCAATAATGCTGAAATTGGTGTATTTTACTCCCAATAATAATGCTAAATCCCCCTTCCCTTGCTGAAGGTTGAAATAATACAGCAGAGTTAGAATTCAAGTAACACTGCTATTTCCAGAGTAAAAACTAGTTTTCTCAGTTAGTGGTCTATTAAGTAGTGCATGACTGCTTCAAACATCTTCTAGAATCCACAGGACAAGTGCTATAGACCCCACTTTACCTGGGGGTTCAGTCGGAGAAGTAACCATCTCAAGGTTACATATTAAACAACATTGGCTTTAAGGCAGACTGCATTTCCTGGGCTCTCCCTAAGAACAAATGCTGAGACAGCATCAACTTTTCTCCAGAAAACCCCACTACGCAGGATCCGGAAAGAAGGAAGATTTAAAGCTGATCCAAGTGGGGAAGGTCTGTTCAGTATCTGCCTGATACAGGGACGGCTGGCAAGAACCGGGGCTTTTTTCCCACCATGCCTTCAAAATGTTACCCAGCAGAAACTACCTACCTCAACACAAGAGGGCGACATTTGGCAACAAAGTACATCCGGCAACTACTGGTTCAACTTGGCAACCATTACACAAACCACACTGCTTAAGCCGGAGACAAAGCTCCATTTTGCAGATGTGGCAAAAAGTAAAGTGTTTTGTTTTGTTTTGTTTCTGGAAAAAAATTATAAAATATTAAAACTTTTTTTGTTTCCAATGAAGAATTATGTTCTTAAGAAAAACGAAAACCAAAACTATCTAGGTTAAGGGCATGATAGTGCATGTCTGCCATCCCAGCACTTACGTGACAAGGGACTGTTCAAGTTCCAGGCCAGCATGGGCCATATAATGAGATCTCACTTCAAAAAATGAAAACAGGCTGGAGAGATGACTCAGTGCTTACGGGCACTTGCTGCTCTAGGGGAGAACCTGGGTTCAGTTCCCACACCCACGTGAGTTCCAGAGATCTGGTGCCCATTTCTGGCCTCCATGGGCACTGCACGCATGCTGTGCACAGAAACACATGCAGGCAAAACACCCAAACACAAAACACATAACATAAAGACAAGTAAATGTTTCTTTTTAAAAACCGAAAGAAAGTAACAGCAGATCCCATACCACTTACTACATACCTATGTAAACACTAGCTTTGGGGAACTTTTTCCATTAAATGAAACTAATATTTCTCCACCTCCTAAAACTGAGAACAATTAATATTTTCTTCTTTTCTTGAGTCTGGGTCTTGCCATGTAGCTCCAGGTTAGTCCTGAATTTACAGTCCTGCCTCAGTCTACCGACAGCTGGGGTTACAGATGGCAAGCCCCAGCATTTTGTCTTTTTGGTTTAGTATTAAAAGGAGCTTTATAAATAAGATCAATCAAGTAAAGTTCTTAGCACTTAAGAATAACAGGAACTGGGTGAACTTACATTTTCTTAAAGCTCATAGAGCTAGAGTTCCACTTACTCTGCATGGGGTGTGTGCACCCATGTGGGCATGTGCTGAGACCAGAGACTGATAACACATCTTCCCCAATCACTTCTCTACCTCAGCTTTTAAGACAAAAGTCTCTCTGAATCTGCAGCTGCTTTCTGTGGGGCTGGCCCTCAAAAGTTCTCACTCTGAAGCCTGGCTGGTGGTACAGCCCATAATCCCAGCACTAAGGAAGCAGGGAAGAAAGACCTCTCAAAAAACTAAAAACAAGGAAACTGCTACTTTGGTTTGGTATGTGGTGTGCCTGTGTGATTTTTGTTTGTTTGAGACAGGGTCTTACTATGTAGCTCTAACTGGCCTAGAACTCACACTATAAACCAGGCTGGCCTTGAACTCACGAGAGATCAGCCTCATGAGTTCTGAGACTAGAGGCGGGCAACATCATCTTTGAAACTACCTGAACTCACAGTTTACCCAGAAAAAAACTTTTGTTTTAGAATTAGCTGGATTACTCTAGGCTCCCCATAGGCAGAGGCGGTAGGACCTCTAAGAAATGTCTTCATAGGTGTTCTACTGGGGTGGGGGTAGCTCAAACTTTACATGTGGCTAAAATCTAAGCATTACATTTATTAGGTGTATACAAATATCTGTGGGTTGGCACATGGCCACAGTCCTGTCTACTGGGGAAGCTGAGCGGAAAACTGCTCGTGCCCAAGAGTGTAAGACCAACCTAGGTAACATAGCAATACTCTGTTTCCAAACTAGGGAGTGGGGTGGGCTGTCAGGACCATCTTAGATGCTCTTCAAATGCCTGTGAAGCTTAGACTTCCGTAGGACAGGGGAAGGAGAGAGGGCTGTTCTGCAGCTTTTCTTGCCTTCTTATCCTTCACACTGAAACATTTCAAAAACAATGAAATTTGATGGGCTATTTTTTAGCTTCAGAAAATCAACTTCAATTTTCCTGGGGTTTTAGATTTCTAAGTATCACCACTCTAAAAGGGAAGGTAAAGTATATTCACAAAAAGAGAGCTGCCAGTGTGGGTTTTTAAGTAGGTCTAGAACACGGAATGTATCTACTTCACTGGTTTTACTAACAGAAAAAGTGAAAGCTGTGCTACTGCAAAATTACCCTAAAGAGTGACTTTTAGAAACTACCATCTCTTTCAAGGCTACTGAGGAAAAACAAACAAACAAACAAACAAACAAACAAAAAACTACCATCAACCCAGACAGCCTAGAAAATTCTGCTATATTAAGGTAGAGAGATGACTTGTATATTTTTATTTTTCTCTGTAAACTTGGGTAAACTTCTTGCTATAAGTCTGTCCTTGGTGTCTAAGGACACACTACTTGTGTGGCCCAGGGTTACTTCACAGACATGCCTCTGTGCTTAGTTATGTGTACGGATTGGCTTCTCTGGCCAAGACTTCCTTACCATTGGCTTCTCCAGTCCTTTATTCTAGCTGGAATTTTTTTTTATTAAAAATGAGGTATCTTTGATGTTAGGTAAATAAAAGGCCATGTAAGAGACTGGGGTGCAGCTGGGTGGTGGTGGTGCACATCTTTAATCCCAGCACTAGGCAGGCAGATCAGTGAGTTCAGGCCAGCCTGGTCTACAAAACTACACAGAGAAACCCGGTCTCAAAAAACCAAAGGAAAAGGAGAGAGAGAGAGAGGGAGAGAGAGAGATTGGGGTACTAGAAAGTAGACAGTTAAAATTATTCATGATTTGGTATAGCCATGTCTTAAAACAAACTTTTTATACATTATAATATATAGTTATACATTAAAATAACTACTGACTTCCTATATGGCAGAAAACATTTAAAGATCATTTTTATGAGGACATAATTCACATGAATCATAAGATAAGAGTGACAGTTTAGAAGTGTTTGTGTGTGAGCATGTGTATGTGTGAGCTGGAGACTGACCCGAGGGCCTCACACATGCTAGGCAAGCCCTCTACAGGTGAGCTTCATTCCTAGTCTCTAAAATATTTAAAACAGATCTCGTCTACTTCATATTCAAGTTCATTTTACTGATTCTGCAACCTGGAAAAACAAAGATTTTATAAATAATCAGTCACTCTAAAGTTTCTACATTAACTTCTGTTTTTCAAATTATAAAAAAGCTCATAGGATAATTTGAAAGTTACTTTTAATAGCCATGTCATTAAGAACTGGTATGTACAACCTCAAAACTAGGGACAGATATTTTAAGTCAACAGACCATGAGGAGGTAAATAATTAAATAATTATTTAAAAATGGTGTACGAATCTTCTCCAGGACTGGGATAAAAATTCTAAAGGAGAAGCTACTACTCGACAAGAATGGTGTCCACACTTCCTTGTGTGAGCTCAGACTCTAAGGCACAGGGCAAGTCTAAATGTTCTTGTGACAAGCGAGAACTTTTCAGGGGGACATCGGACCAGCTGTCACAATACTGCTGAAACCTCTGGGCCAGTGAATTTCCAAACCTTTGGCATCTGTTGTATCTGTAAGATTTACCTTTATGTGTATACATGTGTTCCAGTAACTGGCTCTTTCGAAGAAATTTATGACCACAGATGGTACAACTGATTTTTCTTTTTCTTGAAAAAGAAAAATTACAGTTTAATTCTACTGGCTCTGTGTCTTTGGAGATCAAAGACACTTGACTGATCTGTAAAGGCTCTGCTGTACTACGGCTTGAGTGCTCAGGAGGTGGAGGCTGCTGCTCATTCTCCTTGACAACGAAGGAGCTAAGCCCCCGGCATTCAAGAGCTTCACTGCTATCACCAAGTGGATGCACTTCACCAAGGTCATTACTTTCCAAAATGGAAGCAGGAACACCAAATGGGAGAGATCCAGACACATGGGTATGCAGGTGCTGTCTCAGGCTGCTGCGGGATTCAAAACGCTCCCCACAGTAATGGCATAAGTGGACTTTGATACTGTTTTCTGTAAAAGAGGGGCCAGTCACTTCTGAAGAGGAGGAGGAGTGGCCTCGTGAGATCGCAGTCTCTGGCTCACACCTCTCCTGTTTGATGGACACCGGGGGTTTCTGGTGCTCCTCCACGGCCTGGGCAGCAGGCCGGGCCCTCTGCTGCTCGGCACTGCCATCGTCTAGCCCAATTGCAAGAGAGAGCTGCAACTGGGGGTGCTCACCTTGGACCGCAGCTCGGTTTCCACTGCTACTGGGAGGAGTTTCTTTGAACTCCAGCCCTTGTTTGACAGCTGCTTTCTGGGTTGTTGAAATCTGAATACCATAGAGATTTGAGGTCTGCACAGTCTCTGGTGAGAACACTTGGTTCATTTCAGTTGCAATGTGGGAAAGGTAGTCAGCATGGAGAAATCGGATCCCTTCCTCCAAACGACTATGATCCACAATCTGTTTTGGCCCTTTTCCTGTGTACATAATATGCAACAAGTAGCTGAATATATCGGGCTGGATGTCAGTTGGCTGTATTTTTATGCATTCACTGTTAAAACAGAAACAAAACCATACAAAATGAAACACAACCTGGTTGGCCTTTTGGTTTCTAGCAATCTTATTTTAAAACAAATTCTTCCTAAGAGGTTTAAATCTGGCAACCTGCCTTGATGAAATACAATAGCAAGAAATCTGATTGTAACTGCGTTTATGGTCCATCCACAAAGCTTTGTGCATCCTATCTACTGCCTAGCACTGGGAAACAGATATTCAGATAGTTCAACACTGAGTGACTCCTAAGCAGTATCATCTCTACTGGTGACAGAGGACAGAAAAAACCAGTGACTAAAATAGGTGCTCTGCTTTTTATACTGAACACATAACAAAAGGAACTAAACACAGAAACTCAAAAGGGTACCTATATGCTGGGGTCCAGCATTATTTACAGTAGCCAAAAGCTGAAAACAACTGCATCAAAAGAGGAACAGAACTGAGTGTAGTGGTACAGCTTTTAATCCCAGCACTGGAAAGGCAGAGGCAGGTGACTCTCTTTCAATTGAGGCTGGCCTGATATACATAGAGAATTCCAGAACAGCCAAGGCCACTAGACAGACCATCTCAAAAAAAAAAAAAAAAAAAAAAAAAAAAAAAGAAAGAATGGATAAAACAAAGGGGGCTGTAAATACAAAGACATGTTATTCTGCCATAAAAAACAATTAGGTTCTGGTGTGTGTTATAACAGGGCTGAAGTCTTGAAAACATGCTAAATAAAGCGAGCCAGACCAAAAAAGTCTGAAAATGATGTTGTACCACACCCATGAAATAGTTAAAACAAAGCTGGGCCTGGTGGTACATGCTTTCAATCCCAGAACTCACCTACAGCCAGAGAAACATAAAGTCCTACCTCAAAAAAACAAAACAAAAGAAGTATCTAAGATAAATATATTTAAAGAGACAGAACAAGGCTAAAGAAATTCCTCAGTGGTTAAAAAACAAAACAAAAAAACAGTTCAGAAGACCCAGTTTTATTCCCAGCACCCACATGCGGCTCACAATTATCTATAACTCCAGTTGTCTATAACCCAGTGCCCTCTTCTGGCTTAGTGAGCATCAGGCATGCAAGTGGAACACAGACATACATGCAGGTCAAACACTGACATACAAGGGATAGGGACAGAACTACATTTAGATAAGGGGCTGTTACTGGTGGCTGAAAGACAATAGAAAATTACTGCTTAATAGGTACAATGTTTCTGTTTGGGGTGATGAGAGGGTTTTGGAAACATAGTGACAGTTGCAGGATTGTGAATATAATTACTGCCATTAAGTTAAGAGCATTGACTACTCTGGTAGAAGACCTGGCTTCAGTTTCCAGTACCCACACAGCAGCTCATAACACTCAGGCAAAACAATCATAATATAGACAAACAAAATGGCAATCACAACCAAAAGCAAACCAAACCAAAATATTCATATTTTTAAAGGAATCTAATGAAATTCTAATCATTCAAAATGTAAATGACACTGTTTATTTGGCTTCTAAATCCTTAAATTACAACTGAATACAGGTATAATTCTGAAAAGCATTATAATAATTTCAAACTCAATTTGGTTACTAGATAGAGTAACAGAGTAAAGCTCTGTAAATAGAGTAGAAACAGCCAAAAGAGAAGGATACACATGAAAAAATAGTTGACAGCATTGACTGGCTTCACTTCCCTGGGCAGAAATTTATTCTGAGTCAGAATAAATGCACTGGGATTCAGCATATTGCAATCTACTTTCTCTAGTCCTGGCATCTCGGGACTCCTGTTTCCTCTCTTCAGTTTTTCTCTTTGCTCTGTGTTGTATATTCATTGACACGTTGTGTGACAAGCATTTTTTTTTTGGGGGGGGGGATAAGTTCAGAATTCTGTTACCTGGAGTTTAGCAGAGTTGGCCTCACCTTTCCCAATACCTATGTTTGGATAGCACTTAGCTCACAACAGGGGCTTAAGAAGATCACAGCTCCTAAACTCACAAGTCACAGCTCAGGCTGAGGGGCAGTCAGCATCTGTAACGTGGTCAATGTAATCTGCAGTGTCACATAAGAGACAAACTCCTCTAGCAGAAAAGACTTCGCATTACCTGGCTAGCATTCCAACCCCATTCTTTTTACCGTGCCCCTTTCTGGTCCCTTATCTATTCTGTTGTCTGGGTAACCACATCTGCTTCATACCTATACATGTGTGTTAGTACCACTTTTGTTTCATTTTGGTTTTTGAGACAGGGTCTTACTATGCAGCTCAGGCCTGACACTTGCAACATCATAGCCCAGTCTGGCCTCAAACTCACAGCGATCCTCCTGTCTCTGTACCTAAGGTGCTGGGATTATTACAAGCATTAGCTACCTAACCTTGATCCATGCCATTTCCCCTCCTTATATTATATTATTCCTCTGCAATACCTGAAGAACTTTGGTTTTTCAAATTTGTAAAGTCTGTTGTAAACTTCTCAAAACAGGACTGCTAGAACACTTTTACTTTGAATACATTCTGACATTAGGTATCACATTAATAACAGCAAAGCTCTGTTCCTAGGCATTTTTCCCTCTGTAGCCCTGGCTGTCCTGGAACTCATTCTATAGCCCAGGATGTCCTCAAACTGGGAGCTCCACCCACCTCTGCCTCCCCAGGGCTGGGATTAAAGGCGTGTGCCACCACTCCTGGCTGTTCTAAGCATTTTAACTTTACTAATCCATTTAATCTTTCAAAAGGAAAGTATATTATTCTGGCAGGCATTCGACAGACAAGAAAGCTGAGTGTTAGGGTGTGAACATGAACTGTCCTCTAGAGGCTCATGTACCACAGAATTGGTGGCCAGCTGACGGGCTTTGAGGAAGTGACAGAATTCTGAGGACTCTGGCTTCATCAGTGTATCTATCAGTCCACAAACCAAGTCACAGGATGATGGCAGAAACTAGGAGAAGAGGACTAAGAACACGACTTCCCTTGTCCCTGATCTGTGTGCACTGCACCTGCTTTCTTCCTGCCTACACTGAGGTGGACAGGTTTTCTGTCATGTACTCTGACTTCCTACAGTCTTAAAAGCAATACAGCCAGCCGCAGGAGACTAAAGCCAGAGACTGCAGCCAAAACAAATCCTTGTTTTCTTAAGCATGCATTGTGTCACAGCAGTGAAGAGTGACTAACACAAGCAAGGTCAATTATTTGCTTTACATTTAATTCTCAATCAAACTATAGATCTCTTGAAGATAGAGAAGTTACTGTGGTCCAGCTCAATCTCCTAACATTCGTACTGAGGAAATATTTAAGTAACTGAACAACTAAATAAAAAATATATAACTGAGGTTTGACACCTCAATTTCATGCAAGGTCCTTTAAAAAGAAACAAATTAACAACATACCAAATATACAGAGAACCAAGTCTGGTGGCTTGGGCCTATAGCCCAAAATATTTAGAAGGCTGAAGCAGGAAGATCATAAGTTCAAGGCCCTCCTGGGATACAGAGTGAGTTCAAGGCCAGCCTGAGCAACTTTGTGAGACCCTATTTCAAAATGTATAAATAAACAAACAAACAAATAAATAAATAAGGGATTGTTCTAGAATGGACTAAAGCTAGGATAAAATTAATCTTGGAGCTAAGAATTTGAATTGCCATGCTACCTAAATAAAACAAAACAAAAAAGCAAAACAATTAAAAACAACAAAACAAACATGTGAAACAAATGGTCTTTGACTAGTAATGCTATGGTAGAACGTGATACTTTAATGTTGCTACACTAGAAATCAATAACCCAACATTTACGAATAGATGCTTAGCTTCAGACAGAGCTACATCAGAGCCTAACTGACCAGCTGTTTACTCCTGGGTAGGCCATTCAGCAGTTCAGGCTCAGTTGCCTTTTCTCTAAGACCTGGACAACAGTGGAGTTTACATTATAGGATCGATATTTGGGTACTGGCTAAGCCTTTTTGGTTGGTGATTTTTTTTTTTTTTTTTTCAAGATAGGGTCTCACTAGGTAGCCTTGGCTGGACTGGAACTCACTACATAGCCAAGTTGTCCTCAAATTCAGAGATCCACTTGCCTCTCTCTGTCAAGTAGTAAGATTAAAGACATGCACCACCACACCTGTGGGGCTAAGACTTAATCAATTTTAGTTATACAAAAGTTATTATAATTAAAAGTTTGTATTAGGGTAACCCCGTAACAATCCCTTAAACAATATTACAGTAAAGATTTGCATCACTATACAAGAACACATTCTTACCTTGTTTGGTGAATAAATATCATCTTGAAATAGTTGGAAAAAGCAGCAAGTACCGCTCTGTGGGCTTTGAAGTAAACATCTCCAATAGCAACTGTGCAATCACACAGAAAACCAAATTCTCGTTGCATGTTCAGCTGCTGCAGAAGAACAAGGCTATGGCTAGCAGTATCCATTGTGGCTCTGAGAAAAATCAACATAAATATGTATGTTTTAGGTATATACATGTGTTTATACCTAAATATACACAAATATATGTGTGTGTGTGTGTGTGCGCGCGCGCACATTAGTACGTGTGCATGTATGGTCAAACCTAGAGCCTTGCACATGCTAGGCAAGCCCCACCCTACTTTCCTCATGGTTTGGGGATGATCTCAGGACCTCATCTACACTAGGTAAACACTCTACTACTGAGTTTTCCCCTCATCTTGTGATCATTTTTCTTTTGTTTTCTTGAGACAGGGTTTCCCTACGTAATAGCTCTGGCTGTCCTGGAACTCACTCTGTAGACCAGGCAGGCCTGGAACTCACAGAGATCTGATTGCCTGCCCTTCCTTCCAAGTGCTAGGATTAAAGGTGTGTCACTGCTGTCCAGCGTGATCATGTTTCTAATTTCTTCACTGGCGATGAAAATGAGATACTGATGTGTGGCTCAGAATTAGAGGAGATAACAAGTGAAAATTCAGTTGTAATAGAAATTGCTATTCAAATATTAGTTATAAGTGGGAATAACAGGGCATCCTCCCTGGCTGTGAGCCTAAATTCTCTAGCCTGATGGGCATCTTCCCTGGACTAGAACTCTCGTCTTTGGAGATCCTCTGGCATTCAGATGACACTGGATTCCTGGCTGTCATAAATATCTGTGGAACTTAGCCATACCCCAGTTTACATGTAACCTGGGAGCTCACAGGAATGAACCTCAATCTGACCTCATCTCAGCTAGACTTGGACACATGCCTGGATGCAGATTCTCTATTGTAAGAAGATGGAATATGGCAAATGGACCTCAAGGGAAAACTCCTGAATGATGGAGGATATGCAAGCCAGTTCTGTGAGCACCAAGGACACAGCAAAGTTAGTTTCAGGCAGGTGGGAGGCTGTATTTCACCACTACCTCTGCCCTAGCTAAGCCATCGGCCCTGGTGCTGTAGGGAGAAGGTGGCTGCAGTTCAATGGGTGTCACTGGGGGCTGGGAGAACATCCTTTGAAAGAGCAGATTCTGAAAATGAGTATGAGGCTCCTTTAATAGCCAGAGAGACCAAGGCCTAGGGAGGTCAGGGTAGGAAGGCAGGGCTATCCATCAACAGATTGGTAGTAGCAGGAGCAGCAGACAGGTGAGCAATCAATAATACAATAAAAATGGAAAAGTAGCTACTACTTTACATCACTTCCCTTGTGTTAGGCACTTTAACCCATTCAATCCTTAATAGAGCTTCACAAGCAAAGGAATACTAAATTCCCTTTACAGATTAAGGACTGAATGAACAAGCTCCCAAGACCACACTGCTAGTAAGAGGCAGTAGCAGGGGATTCAAACCCAAGCTCTGAAGCCCAAATCTGCCTCCCTCATATTCATTCCTTAAAAGGAACCATGACTCACAAACTCGAAGAGCACAGAGAAGAACTACAGATAAAAACAAACCTCCATGGGAAGCTCCAGGAATATTTGCAAAGAGGAATTAGGGAGAAACTTGGATTTCCTGCTGGTTAAGCAGATGGTATACAACAAAAGCAATATATACAGTAGCAAATAAAGTCCAAAACATAGCATAATGACAATAATATTACTGTTAACAAAAGAGCCGCTTTTAAAAACTGTATAGTATAATGATACAATATAATCTCTAAGATATATTTACAAGAAAAGACATAGGTATGAAGAAAACCATTAAAAAGGAATTGAATCATTATTTTATTTTTAAACATGTGAGAAAGTTTTACATTAATTCCTGTTCATGTATACATCACTGGAAAGGTTTAGACCAATCAGTAGGCTTTTTACTCCTGAACAATTCTGGAGAAGGAACTAGGGAATAGGGGGGAAAGGCTGCCAGTAGACTATACTACCTGAACTTAAAACTATAAACATTTAGGGTAAGCAAGTAGTACATAGTACAGAGAACCAAAAAAAAAAAAAAAAAAAAAAAAAAAAACAGGAAATAATTATCACACCTGGCAGAAGCCCCTTGGCATATCCCTCATTTCTCCCCCCCCCCCACCTACCTACCTTGCTTCCAAAGATAAGCACCATCCTGAATTTAGTGCTTTTTATTCTCTTTACATCATCACATTCTTCCTGTACAGGACTATATCCCTGACCAAAGGATAGTACTAATTAGAAGTGTTACTTTCACAAATAATTACATGTCAGGAATCCCACAACTTGAGTATTTAACTCTATATTCATATGTTACTTTTATTTTTTTTTAAAAAAGGTATTATTTCAAATTTTATGTCTATGTGTCTGTGTGTGGACATGATTTCAGGTGCTCTTAAAGGCATTGGATCCCCCAGAAGCTGGGTTACAGGTGGTTGGAAGTCACTCCATGTATGTGCTAGGACTCGAATGTGGGTCCTCTGCCAGAGCAGTACAAGCAATCTCTCACTCCATCTCTTAGAATTATTGTATGTGTATGGGTGCTTTGCCTGCATGTGTGTCTGTGCATCTCATGCACGTAGTGCCAAAAAAGTCTGAAGAGAGTGCTGCGTTCTCTGAATCTGGGGTTACAGACAGTTTTAAGCTAGCCTGTGGATGCTGAGACCCAAACAAGCCTAATAAGTGCTCTTAACTGCTGAGCCAACTCCATTCATCTTCCAATAAAAGTCTAACCCTCTATCATCCCACATTTTAGAAACTGTCATGGGGCTAGAGAGATGGCTTAGCAGTTAAGAGTGCTTCCTGCTCAATCACTAAGATCAGATTTCAGATCCCAGCACTGATATGACAAACCAGGTATTCTGCAAAATGCCTGAACAGCTTCTGGCCTAAAGATGCCATGTACCTACTCATGCACATATGCAAACACTATCAACTACAAGAAACATTTTTAACATGCATTCAGAGTGTGCATGAGCACGCGCGCATTCGTGTGTGTGTGTGTGTGTGTGTGTGTGTGTGTGTGTGTGTGTGTGTGTCTGGGTATAAGCATACCACGGCACACATGTGGAGCTAAGATGACAGCTTGAACAAGTGTCATGGTTCTTTAATTCCAACACGTAGGTCCAGGGGTTCAAATTCAGGTTGTCAGGCTTGTCAGTAAGCATCATTACTGCTAAGTCATCTCACTTAAAAAGTCATCATCATTATTGTTGTTGTTATTATTACTCTGTATGGGGGGGCATGCATACCAGGGGTGTGCATATGAAGGTCAGAGCACCATGTCATGGAATTGTTTCTCTCTCCACTATGTGGGTTCCAGGGCTCAAACTCAAGCCATCAGACTTCTACATCAAGTGCCTTTATATGCTGAGCCATCTTACTGATCCTTCCTCATGTCATTTAAAAAAACAGAAAAACAAACAAACAAACAAATAAACCACTAGGCAGTGGTGGCACATTCCTTTAATCCCAGCACTCGGGAGGCACAGGCAGGTGGATCTCAGTGAATCTGTGGCCAGCTTGGTCTACCAAGTGAGTTCCAGGACAGTCAGGACTGCTACACAGAGAAACGTCGTCTCAAAACAAAGAACAAAATCGAAACTTTCAGCATCACTGAAATAATCCAACAGAAGCTAGAGAAACAAAACCTTATCCTCAAAAGGGGGGGAGGGGTGGAATCCTGCAAGCTTTGGGTATTCTTTCTTTTTTAAAGACCTATTTATTTTGTACAGGCCAGAAGAGGGCATCAGATTTCATTACAAATGGCTGTGAGCCACCATATGGTTGCTGGGGATTGAACTCAGGACCTCTAGAAGAGCAGTAAGTGAGTGCTCTTAACCTCTGAGCCACCTCTCCAGACTCCAGCTTTGGGTATTATTCTAAGAGGTTATTTGACCAAAAGTTACTACTTACAATCACCACATTAGTTTCTAAAACATCACAAGTTTACAAGATTTTAAAAAGTCCTATATTTGAAGTTTTAGCGTACAAAAACACTTTAGAATCAATAAAATGGCTCAAAGTATAATATTTTAACTCAGCTGTTAAAAAAAAAAAAAAAACGGCTTCACAAAAACTCCTACCAAAATCTTGGATCGCAGGCATTTTCACCAGTTTTTTCTATATATATGGTGCGTTGGCATAGCCAGCTGTTGAGTCATACAGAAATGAGATATAGCACAAAAAAAGCTACACTGTAAAGACCTCAGTGCTAACAGTTAAAATTTTCATTTCCCCAGCAGTATCATATCACACACACACGCGCACACACACACACACACACACACACACACTCAAAAACATGCTTTATTCTAGGCTACAGACAGAAAAAAAAAATGACATAAAGTCAAGAATGCCAAAGTCAAGAATACAGGCTAAGCAAGGAGATGATAAAACACAAAGCACTAATCGCATTACAAGAGTGTTAAAGTGCCCCAGGATAGCTGGAGATAAGTACAGACAACACGATCAAAGCTAAGATTTTCAAACTGGTCTTACTCAAACAGGCAGACAGATAAACTGAGTAACATTACTGGAAGGGGGTGTAATATTTTGATAACAGGAGAATTCAATTCAATATAAAGGGGTATTGAAATAACACAGGCTCAGCTCACTGAGGATCCTAAGTATAAGCAAACCCCAGCTGTTCTTGAAGCTACCCCAGCTGTGTTTGAAATGAGCTACATAGGATGCTCCTGTAGGAACTGCACCGTCACCTATACATAGTACTCAAAGCCTGGCCTTGAAGAGTTCCAGCTCTGCCACTAGGTCTGTGATCTCGACAGGACATTCGACTCCGTGGGCCTGTTTCACTTGTAGACTGGATAATGGCAGTATCTTCCTGAGAGTTGTCATACGAAAACAGGTGTGATGGCACACACCTGTAGGCACTCAGGAGACTGAGACAGAGGCTCTGGAGTTTAATGTCAGCCTGAGCTATATAGTGAATACATTTAATAGTGGAACCCATAGATAAGTGTTCATTAAGTAACAGACCAGCAGTTCTCAACTTGTGGGTCATGACCCCTTTGGGGGTCAAATGCTCCTTTCACAGGGGTCACCTAAGGCCATTGGAAAACAGTCA